CGCAAGACGTCCTGCCGCAGGATATAGGTACGTATACGTATACGTCGTAACCTGGTATTTGTGTGTAATGCGTATACGGTGTATACCTATATAGATTAAAACCTACCTACCTCCCTGCATTGTCCTGTTCCGTCGTGTGTCATCGATTATCATATCCATCCTAACAACTTGTTCGATGCGAGCATATATGATCAATTACATTAATTAAGTATAAATACGATGTAGGTACGGGTGGTTTTTTTTTTATTATTATCATTATTATTGCTATTATTAAACAGGTTCGCGTTATTATTGTACGCACACGGACAATATAATATAGGCACGACAATTAATGCGATAAACGTATTATGCAAGTTACAGTGATAGGTATTACATTGCACGTACAGACGTAATAATAAGAACACAGGCTTGTACCATAGATAGTCGTATACTGCAGATGCCTATATTTACTAGCTACCTGTATAATATATTTTGATACGCGAGTCGTGACGAAGAAACCGTCCCCACGGTGATATTAATTTAAAAGCACTTTTACTAGACACAATAATATACCCGGCACTGCAGACGTCATGATATATTATAATAAAAAATATCTTCCACGCTAAGATGATGCGTGTAGGCGCCTACCTACCTTTAGGTATATATAAATACCAAACGGTTATATCATTTAATGGTTATACGTGTAACAGCGTAAGGACAAAAGGACGTATCCGTACGCTATATAATGTGAGTATTACATATTTACATATCATTATTCATCCGGTGGCAGAGATCGAGCAAGCAACACAAGTCACAACTCGGGTCGGCCAGAGACGAGGAGTTTCGTCCAACTCGACCGCACAAAAACAACAGGACCCGAACTCGACCGTATTCGCGAAAAATTTATACTTACAAGGATTACGCCCATGTAGTTTTATACATAAAAAAATGTTTTTGTTATATAATTTTTTTTAGTTTTCATTTTCCATTATTATAGAACACGCATCAACACGCTGCAGGTGAAAAATTCATTTATTTGGCTTGTGGAAATTGTCCCTAAATTTTACTAGAATATTGTTCATTTTTTTTTTCTAGCCGGTATATAAATCTCACGAGGAGCCTTGTATTGAATTCTCAAGCTTTTTGACCGAGCGAACATTTTACAATTGATATTAATTTTAAAAATACTATTGATCATTGAAAATGTCTTATACCTATAAAAATCACAAAATGAGTTAAAGTATTTTGAAAATTTTATGGTGTATGGAAAATACTAATTTAAGCATTACAGCCATTATTTTAATGTTACACCAAAACCATTTTACAATAATTCTTTTTCGTTTTTCGAGGCGATTTTGAAAACTACTGGAAATTTTAAATTATATGTAATCCCGAATTCATCAACTAGATTCTAGAAATTGAAATTGTATGTATCATTTCGAGTTTCAACCAATTATTTTGTGTACAGACAAAAAAAACAAAGTTAAAAAAAACACATACATCATTAATTTATTGTAAAATCAATAAATTCTTCGCTTTGCTCAGAGCCTAAAAAATTAAGAAATCCGACTATTCTCTAGAACAGTATTCAGTCTTTTTGGATTCGTGACCCACTTTTTAGGCGATTAGGCCCACATTTTTCACGACCCACGTAAGCTTTGTAGAAAAACCAAAAAAAAGATAAAATTACTTAATAATTTTTAGTAGTACATACTAATATACTATTATAAGAATACACACTTATATTTTAGATGTACAAATGGTTATAGGTTATTGATTGGTAACGTAAGTACTTACTCAATAGTGAATGTATTAATATTTTATAATTAATAGTTAACCATATAATATACCTACTAAGAGTACAGTTAGGGTTGCTGGATTTCAAAATTAAAATACGGGAGTAAACAAAAATATCTATTCCGAACTTCACCACGAAAACACTAGACGCTAGGACATATGTTTTATGAACGTATCTTGAATTAAACTATAGGACAGTCTTCATTAAAATATGAATTAGAGTAAATTTTTTTTGTTTTTATTGTTTAATTTTTAACTTTTTTTTTCTCTATCTTATGAGGACTCTAGACCAGTTTCTTTTTAATCGACGGGGAATTTGTGGTAATGTGAGAGTGGACATGTTTTTAATAAAAGGGTTTGTGTGATTAGTTAATTTGGAGTGGAATTTTGAATATTGGCTTTTAGCAAATTCGTTAATAGTTTGAATTTTTAGGTCGTTGTGGAGAGCTGCATTTGTTATGTACCAAGGAGCACTGGTGATAAGTCTTAGCGTAATTGATTGAAAGGCTTGGATAGGACGAATATTTGCAGGTTTAGCTGGCCCCCAAATTTGGATGCCATATGACCAAACTGGCCTAATAATTACTTTGTATAGCAGTAGTTTGTTTTTAAGGCTTAAGTTGGATTTCAGTATAGAGGTCTAAGTAGATGAAGGCGAGAGTTGAGTCGTTTGCGTTTTTGCTTAATATGGCTTGACCAGGTTAGTCTTTTGTCCAGAGTGATGCCTAAGTATTTGGTTGACTGGTTTAGTGGAATTTGTTTGTTATTAAATTTTAGTGGGCGGTAATCCAATTTTTTTAGGGAAAAGTTTACCTGAGAAGATTTTTCGTCGTTAATTTTGATTTTCCAGTTTTTGGCCCAGGATTCTATTTTATTTAAATGTAGCTGTAAATTTTGAAACGCGATATCAGGATTATTATTTGACGTAAGTATTGCTGTATCATCAGCAAAAGAGGCGAGGAGAGTTTGATTTGTTGTAGGTATATCAGCGGTGAATATATTGTAAAGTAAAGGAGACAGGTCACCACCCTGGGGAACTCCAGCTTCTATATTCTCAAGAGAGTTAATTTTAAAAAAGGGTTTTCTGAATTTTAATTTTTTATCTCTTACGCTGCCCTCAATTAAATAAAAACAGAGTGAAAAAGCCTTTTAGTGGAGGTAATTCAACATGACATTATATAATTGAGACATATAGTTGATCATACATTTAGTAAACATTCGCAGACAAGCCAAACGAGTAGGTACATGACACCGTAGACGTGAACTCAGGCTTAGTTCTATGAAGGTACCAAGGTGTGCCTTGGTATAACCCTGAACCCACGTTGATAATAATAATAATATTAAAGTAATATTGATTATTGATTAATTAGTGATCACATGCCGTTCTAGATAGGCAACCAAATGTACAGAAAGCTACATCATTTTCGATACAGGTATTATCTCGTTCTGTGGTACCCTACTTCATAGTTCATGCCTTCATGGAATTAAATCATAAATCATTGTTTTTACCATTTCCTCGTCAATGTTGTATAATAAATAATAATTGTGTCGACAAATATTGTATTTATATTATATTGTGAATTAAAAGAAATTATACAAAGTAGATACTTAGATACTCATAGTGATTTTTAAATATTTATTTAAATTACCATTATTTTCACCCATCATGCTATATATAAAAATAATACAATAATAACACATTATGCGGTTTAAAGTCTTTTTTGTTAGTAAAAATTGTTATAATTGATGCTTTATTAAATAATTCTTTTAACGTTAATATTTTTAGTTTTTTAAATATATTGGCAGTATTATAATCATGATCAATAAAATCATTTGTCATCATTATTCTAATGAGTATTCTATGGGTTACATTTAAAGGTTCTAATACAATTTGATGTGCTGAGCCCCCATACTATTATACATTTATACCATATGATAATAATGATTGAACCAAACCAAAATATTCCATGACTCAAGAATATTTCGTAGCTCCTTAAATATTACAGTATCGATGTGAAAATTCCATTTTAAATGATCGTCAACAATTACACCTAGATATCTTACTGTTTTAACTCTTGCTATAAAACGACAGTTCCTATTATATAATATATCTGTTAAATGTTTCCCTTTACAATCATTACAATAGGATTTAATTAGTATTTAGTCAGGCGCGTTAATAGTAGACAAGACAAATGGAATAAAAGCAGATTTATTTTTATTCAATGCTAAACTATTTATGATATACCAATTATTAAGTCCAAAATTACCCTTTTTTTCTACCAAAATTCTAATTATCGCGCCTGAATACCATATCATCGGCAAAAGGGCAGAAGACAATATGTCACAATCTTTGTAACAATGTCTAAATTTAACAAATCATTTAAGTACCCCATGTAGAAAAAATTAATGGACCTAATACTGTTCCTTGCTGAACACCATGTGTATTTATTAATTTTCAGGCTACAAAAATCATTTACTTTTCACATGAATCAATTTTTTAAAAATACTTTGGTTTAAGTTCAGACTAAATATAATTATGTAAATCTGATGTAGATCTCTGTATACATGTTTGCAATTGGTTACTCGGGCAAATGTAGCACGTATACTCAAAAACTACTTGATTGATTTTGACAAGTCCTAGATATTGTTTATAGCGATATTAGAAAAGTTTAGAGAGTAGCTAATAATTTAGTATATACTAAGTGCTAAATCCAATCAACGACTTTGCAATTTCCTATCCAGGTCGAATTATTTCAAAAAGCTAGGTACACTGACCCCGATTTACCTGTAAATTAAGCCACACTAAAACTGAGACACACCTTTTTGGAGTAGTATTTTGTATTTGTTGATTTTTCCAATGCGAAGTTGGGTCTTACAACTATCTACTATAAAAGAACATAGATATACAATTTATTCAACTACTATTTTGTATAACCTATATAAAAAAAATTTTAAAAAATGATTATGTACACTAGCCTAGTTATATAATTTTCAACATTTTCAGGAATCTGTAAGCAATCAATTATTGTGGTTTTACAATTTTACATAGCTGAATATCATATAACATGTACTGAAAGACACTAGCACTGTTATGCGTTAGCTTGTGTGTTTGCCACTTGTGACTGGGTGGCATTTCATGAGCTATAGCCTCTAACAGAATAACCTGTATAGATAATTGTGATTTCCGCTTTTAATATACAAATCGAAAACAAAAGAAACATAAATAATTCTTAGACGCCTTTATTAAGTTTTCAGATCTTAATTAAATATTAAAATATTAAAATACTCATCAAAATAAAACAATATTCCATATAATATGATATAAATGATTTATTATCATCATAGCAATACACAGCTTCCAAAAAATGAAAAAATAATTGAGTATCCAACTAATGAGGTATTGTGTTCAAACATCACATATTGTATGGGAACGCTATTAAAATATAAAGTATTTTGTACTCCTAACTATTAAATTAAAATTCTAAAATAAATAGCAAACAAAAGTTAAAATTTTCCAAGTGTGGTATTTTCACAACTTAAAATGATTTGGAATCAAATTATGAAGTATAATTCACAATTAATGATAAATATTATAATTAATAGCTAAATAGTAAATATTCATTGGTAAATTTGATAAATTAATAGTTAAAGTATCAACATATTAAAGCTAGAAAATAATTATGCATTTATAGACAAATAATATGGTATTTTTTTAAAATAAAAATCTATTTCAAAAACAATAATCATTGGCATGTGTCTACACCTAAAACAAAATAAATAACTCTGTCTTTTTCATATATTATTGTTATTGTTATCTATAATATTTTTACTAGATGCAATATTGTTATGCATCAGGGTACTTACATGCACATGATAATATATTATATGGGTTTAAAATAAATTATATTCAGCTTGTAAATCAGTAGTAAATCTTAAGCTTAAATAAATTTAACACTTTGGAATATATACAGGAATAAAATGGTAATCAATAAAATTAACTAAATGTAACAATCACTTTTTCAAGCCTTTGGCTAGTGCAAACCCAATTCCAACGACAGCACTAAGGCCCAATGCTAAAGCTCCAGCTACCGCCATTCCTTTGTGTGCATCTGAAATAATTTCAAAATTAATAATTCATAGCATATTATATAATATTATAGCATATATTTTGTTCCTAATTTATTTATATTTGATATGGACATCCACACATTTAAAAATTTTAAATACCTATATCAAAAATAGTCCAAAAAAATATAACAAAATTATTGAATTCCTTAAAAACGGCCGGTATCCGATCCCCCTGAGAAAACTGTATATTTAATTATATTTAAATTATTGTTAATTATTATTATTATTAATATATAAATATCATATAATATTTTATTTTTACATAAACAATCTATACAATTTTGCACAATAAGTTTATATGATGAGAGTATTTAAATGACATGAAAGGTGTGAATTAAGCAGCCACCCATTAGTGACTCTTGGCTATTGATTAGTTATTATTATTATTCCCCCCCCCCCCCATTAAGAGACATTAGACATTAAACATTAAAGTTTTGTAAAAGGTCAAGGCACCAATTTCTTTTTAATCCGCAGTTAAGATTTCCTGGGAGAGTAAGGATGGAAAGATCTTTTATAAGAGGGTTGGGATGGGTTTGGAGTCATTTGTGAAAACGTGTATAGAAAATGCGTGCTTCCTCATCTATTGTTTTCATATGGAGATCATTATGAAGAACGTAGTTAGAAATATAGGGCTCCGTATTGGTTAATCATCGCAGTGTTATATTTTGGAGCGTTTGGATCCTATTAGTGTTCAATCTTTTTGCTGCGCCCCACAGTTGAAGTCCATACATCCAGATTGGTTTGCATAATATAATATAAATATATTTATTTTTAAATATCTACTTGTTTTTACTTCATAAAAATTATAATAAATACAATATAACTTGTGGTATAATAGACAATAGAGAGTAAAATACATTTTTATTGGGTACTGGAAATTCCCTATGTACCTGAAATTTATAAATGTGTGCACTGTACATAATAAGCGAATAAGTGATCACTTTACACACTAATTACAAATGTATTTATTAATTTTCCTAATCAATTAGTATCATATTTTTAATTTTTAAAAATTGTTCTTTTTTTGCGGGATTCATTTAATATTTATGATACCTTTCTTATAATTATTATTAGAGTTTAAGTGTAAAGCAATATAAAGAAGCAAATGACATTGATGATAATGGTTATTGATGATATTGATGAAATATTTAATTATTTTCAAAACGTACCAGATTCCATTTTCTTTTGAATTGTGACCAACAAGTTCTGTGCTTGCATATTTTCAGGTTGCATATGTAAAAATGCTTTAATAAATTGCAGAGCTGTACTATATTCCTGAAAAATGTGTATTAATTGATTAAAATATTAATAAAATCACATAAAAACATTGGCACATGATATAAGTAGATGACTATAATATAGATCCTTATAATTTCAATATGTATTATTTTTATAAGTCCATAAAACCTAAGTCATACTTGGTACTTACTTTAATTCTTGAATTTCCTAATGCTAAGTAATAAAGGTAATTTCGTTTGGTATCATCATCATTAGCTTCATGTTTGATCAACTGTTCCAATAATATAAGTCCTTTTCTGATGTCAGCTGGATAATTGCTTCTCACTAAGCACCAAGCATAATGAAACTTTGTTTCTTGCGAAACAGTCCCTGTAGTGAGTTGATTGTGATATTCTTTTTCAAATTTCTGAAAATTATAAATATTTAAAATTTTAATAAAAATACCTATAACAGATTGTAGTTTCTTATTTTCTAATAGACTACAATTATTGTTAATATAATATACCCAATATTATAACATTATCTCACGACACATGTCACAATAAAGTTTCATGACCTTGAACTTAAACCAAATGGAAAAAGGATACTTTAGTGTTAGAACAAAACAAGGCCATAATAAATGTTATAAGTACTTTAGGTAAAGTAAGCATTTTCCCATGACGATTGTCGACTGTAAAATAAAACTGCTCAGTGGTAATCCATTCCATATACTCGATTCATGTTCATTATATATACCTACCTAGGTAATTTATTTTAGTACATCCATATTCAATAAAAGTATAGTGTAAATTACAACAAATTTATTTAGTTAACCTTCCACGGTAATAACAGTCTTGGGATTCTAATAAAATATCTATTTTTGCATATAGGACAAATTTATAACTCACAAACTGACATAACCGAGAGGGGAACACAACAGTATTGTATAAATGTATTATTTTATTATTATCCAAACCCATTGAAATAATACAAGGAAAAACTTTTACCTAAAAACTAGAAGTATCTACTTAAAATCAAAAACCGTAATGATAATTTAGTGTTCCACTAAAAGACCAAGAAATGTGCCGTGCGCATTTTATAACAACCGAGAATACAAATGGATGAACAATAAAGACTTACCTTAAGATCGTCCATGGTGACCACATCGCTTAAAACGTCTTCAACGTCCATTTTCCCGTAGGTTTTCAAAATTTTAATCTGCTAAATTCTAGAATAAATGTAAAAAGTTAAAAACGTACGGCGTTCACGGTTCACACGAACAAAAGGGTGGCGGCAGACAACGACGGACTCGTATAACAAAGATAACTGGGCGAACTGGCAGACCTTTGTAGATGTGTTAATCCGATTCTGACGAAATAACAAATAAGAGATATATTAGTTGGGTAAATGAATGACGTATCATCTGACTCAATGTTTGTAATTATTATAATTTATACTTTTATATTATTATAGTTCGATAAGCATATACATACAGACACGATTACCGATGTTATAATAAATTGTAATCAAATGTGAGAATTCAAAATTTTGTAGATGTCAAAACGATTGGATTGAGTTATTAATAATAACTAATATGTAATTATAATTAACTTATAATTCATTATCAAAATTAAAAAATAATTTTAATTAGGCATTGATTGTGTTTTTGTGTATTGTACTATTGTGTGACAGTGACACAACCACAACAGTCAACAACTACCACCAGACGTCACCACGTAACTCAGCAGCTGATCGCGTTGTTATCAACACTTCAACACTGTTATCACAGAATAATTTATTCTGTGCTGTTATTCTAAAATGCTTAGACTTAGTCAGATCATATACACGAATACACGTATATGATCTAAGTGCTTAGATCACGGTCTTAGAAGATATCTTATCTTCTAAGACCGTGGCTTATATCATAATCTAAGACCGTGCCGTGGATCATATTATTAATTATTTATTATGATTGTACATGATTTTAGGTAAAATGTAAACAATTATGTTATGCATAGATAATAATATATAAATATGTTTTAATATATTAATATAAGAATCTTATTTCTTTAAACATAATTCTTATATTATATATAATGTTATGATTAACTGTGAATCACGATGTATATTCTGCAGATAATGCTTAGTCGCGTAGAGTGTAGACAATATTAATAATAATAATATTCATAAAAATGATTATACGTCTATATTCGTATTTATATAATTATATATATATATAATATTTTATAATATATCTACGATAACAACCACAGTCATAAACTTAGGTATAATAGAATAATACCACAGTCCACTGTCCAGTTGAGTAGCCCCATGAAGAATAAATATAAATTTATAATATGTATATATTTTATTCTTCATGAGTAGTCCACACTTCCACAGGCCACAGCTATAGATAAGAATATTGTGAAGGGCACAGATGATAGATATAATTGTATTATAAAAGTTAAAAAATAATAAAATAATATACAACATTGTCAACATTGGTGATTACTGTTTAAAGACTACTCAAGGTGGTTTTATAAAATTATAAATAAATGTATACATTTTATAAATCCACCTTAACTCCAGTGTTGGGTGGTAACTGAACAGTATATTATATTAACATTTTACAGTAACGTAATACATAGTAACTTCATTATTATTATTTTTGGGTACTACAATAGTAACTACGTTAACTATTTAGAAGTAACTTAGAAGAAGAACGCGTTACATTATAAATTTAACTTTTTTTTTGGGGAGTGGGATATATCGTGGTGCTACTTCATGGGGCAGTCCTTCCCCTCGAATCCGCATTAGAAAATGTAATTATACTAATAATTTAAGTAGTATGTAACTAAAACATTTTTCCAGTATAATCTAATATAAATATATAAATAAACGATTTTGTGTTAATGTTATTTTCAATTCAACTGATTATAAACATGGATTACAGCCTATACAGGCAACAACTCATAGTTTATTAGCTTATTTATTTTTAGATCACCTGATAAAATATGTAGGTCGAAATACTGACAGACAGTCTTACGGATTACCTGTTACTCTATGGGATTACCGCTAATAACTATTGGTAAATGGTAGGCCAGAGCTTTTTTCAACAATTCATAATTATATTATCACTCTTTTAACATAAGACTATAAGAGTAACGTCATTGTAACTACTAACTAGTTACTTTTGAGTAAAAATGTAACGTTACGCATTACTTTTGTACTTGAGTAACTAACAAGCAATCTAGTTACCTATTTCATGTTGTAACTTTTAACGTAACTGAGTTACTTTTAAAAAGTAACTTACCCAACACTGCAGTTAACTTTAATAATTAGAGTAATTATATTATTAGTATTGTAGAGTTTTAAAGACTTACAAAAATATTAAATAGGTATAAGGCAATATTTATAGTTATGAATTAATTTAACTGGACCAGCCTTGAAATACAGTAATTGTAAATGTATAAACCATAGATATTAAAAATACCAGTGGTTGTCAACGCTGACGATATCATTCACGATTCACCCCCCGGTGTGTGGTTACTATTGATACCCCTTGTACCGGGGGCGGTGAACTAGTTTTGGACTACATAGATACTTTAGATGTATAAATATAGACTTATGTCGATGTAGTATACACCGATTATCTCGTTTTGTACTTGTGTATAGTGTATAACTACTGTAAAGACTAAGGAGTGTATAATTTTATAATATGGTTTAGGTATACGGTAACTGTACGGTCACAAATTACTATTGGAGGGCTACTTGAGAAATCCAAAGTTTTTGGGAGCCATCAAAATTAAATGTACATGTTTATCCAAAGAAATTAAGGGAAAATGAAAAATTAATATGAATTAAATCCTAATATATTAATTTCACCATACAAAAAAATATAGTTCTTGTGTCCGGGCCAAGCAGAGTAAAGTGGCCGCTATTTGATGACCCCTGCTGTATTAGTAGGTATGCATAATACATAAATGTTTAATAGATAGTGTGTACCACTGCAGTACCACCAAAACACCACTAATCACAAAACGTCTGTACAAATACGAAATAAATGAGTATCTAACCTATCCTAAGTTCCTAACACAACCTAGGTACTTCATACAGTTAATATTTGTTCTTAATGTTCTTATATAGTTAAAAAAACTAAAGTTCGACAAAACAAATGTAAACATTTAAATTGTTGGTATGGAATTGTGTGATATGTATGGACATAGCTCAAATAATTTATTTTCGAGTACCTACTTATTTAATAAAAAATGTTCTTGGGAAGTAGATTTTTTGAAAACCGGTGCTTATAACATGTCATGTAGTAAATTATTAAATCAATGAGTATCTTAATAAATAAGTATATGTTCAAAATATCAACGCCTACCATAGTCCCACACTTCCAACAACACAATTATAACAATTTAACCTATAAGTTAATACCACAAAGTCTTATTAGATACTTTATAGGTTATTGAAATAGATATTTTGTAGCTACCGTATAAAATAACAACAATTTAATTTTAAATATTAAAACTAGGTAAGAAACTGAGAACTAGTAGCCCCCCAACTCCCAAGTACATTAAATTATGTTTCATCTTCATAAATATCCTTGTAAGTACCTATTCTGTATGTTTACTCATTTTACTGGACACTGTACAGTAGTATAAATATTAATAAAAATATAAAATACGTCTTGAACCTCAAAAGGTCTATGGACTAAAGTTTTAATAAATGGAAAATAATATGGTACAATAACTAATAATTATTCTAACCTCTGATTTCTATATTAATATATTATAATAACCACATAAATACATAATAAAGCCTTAATAAAACAACTATTAGTTATATTAGATAGTAAACCAGTCCCTACCTACCTATATAGATTAGAATTAATATGTGATGAGTTATTTTAACCTCTACGGATTACAGAACATGTATATGTATAGGTTAGCTTGTGATAAAGTTATAAAAATGAATAGGTATACTTTGTAAAATAATTAAATGAATACTAACATCCACAAATGTATAGCATCTGAAAGTTGAAACATTTAACTTTTAACCTCTACACACACGGTATACACTATACACTATACATTGTATGACGTAAAAAATAGTATGTACGTTATTATATAATACTATAGCTGATCCTGTGCACTTTGTTGTCTTTAAAAATGCCAACTCTCTAATATGATACTCGTCTGTGATAATGCGAGCAGTAGGTATATTATCAGGTAGGCTAACCATCTGGCATCTACGGAATAGTACGGATCTCGGCATCTCGCTAGGTCTATATTACGAATATGTTTTATTTCGATTTTAATTGCGAACACGCCGATGAGCGGCTACAAGTGCAACTCAGCCACCCTGGTATGCAATGAGTGAAAATTCGATTTGATGCATTATGCTACGATTTAACGATTAACCAAGGGCAACAATTTATGTAACAAAATTTCTCTAGCAAATCTCAAAACCCACTCAAACGCACACACAAAAATGTCATCAAAATGTGCCCAGCTGTTTAGACAGCCATAACGCATACGAGCCACGAGGCATGCAGACAGGCTGACAGATATACAGTTGTATATATTTTATAGATTATAGATATATTAAGTGCCACTAACGATTTCGGCGGCATATTATAACTTAAAATTGAAAGTATGCTATTTTCATTGATGGTTATCAATAATTATTACCTATATTTGTCTATTTTTTATGAAGAATGATATGTATAGGTAGATACCAAAATATATATTTTTGTATATATCGAAATTGTCAGTTGCCAGTTTGTCACTCGTGCAGTAAATAGTCATACTATTCGTACCTTCATACTGACGTAGGTGATAGATAGCCGGTTGAGATAACATAATTGTGATTTTATTTCATATTATTTAAACATAAGTTAAAGTCATAATCTACATGACTATTATGGATGGATTATATTTATTGTGGTATTGAATGTATGATTATGTATATTTTGTATGGAAGCATTGTCAATTGTCACAGAGTAAATTATGGTATTATTTTGGACCTTATTGAATATTATGATCAGAGCCGGATTTAGGATATGTAGACCCCCTGCAGGCTCAACTGGGGTGTGGGCCCGGGCATGTCCCGTTTTCGCCAAAAATCCGGTTCCCTGATTTACACATAGCCCTTTTCCATCAAAAACGAAAAAGGTATGATTCCCGTTTCCGCCAAAATTTATTTTCGTGAAAAGGCGTTTCCGCGTTTAATATTATAGTATTTGGGAACCATGTAAATTTTTACATATTATTATCATTATACTTCTTTATACATATTAATACAAGTAGATAATAATATTGTATTAGTCGAATATAGGCACAATTTTATTAGTTTTTAAAATATTATATAATCAAAAATAAATTAAAATATATTAAAATATAGTCTCAATAGTTTTGAAAAAACGCATATCATCATTTTTAAATATTTAAAGATGTCACAAAAAATATAAACTATAATACAAGTACATGTCAAGTTTTAAAAAATTACAATCGTAAGTATAGGTCAGGTTTTAAAAATCTTATAATTAAAAGAAACAGTTTTGACAAAAGTGTACCCACTTGGCGGAAATTTCGAATTGGCATCAATATAGATTAAGATAAGAATCGACGTACACGTACTTACTATATTTGCTGTCATCAGGGATGTCTGACATAAAGACAAAAGAAAAACAATCCGATACTTCCGAAGGGTCCAAAAATGTTAAACCAAAAGTGTGTTTTAACAAATCATTTTTTTTATACTCTAAGGTTAAACCAAATTCTTCCCGTTATCGACGATTATCAACAATATTATCGAAGATCATTGGTGTATACATTACAAATGTCATTGCCAAAGATTCTTGGAAGAATCCAGCGTTGTCAGGGCGCGAATAGGTGTGAAGTTGAGGGACCAAAGCCAGGAGACTATTTCTTGAAACATTAATAATCTATTAATCTGCCATCTGACAAGTCTATAATATTGATTTATGAAATGCGTTAGGACTTAAGAAGATCATTAAGGACAACCTATTATAATAATAATTGGCAACTTAAAAATACACTTCAATATTATTATATTATATAACTAATAGACTATAGAATAGTTTTCTTGTGAATATTATTACTTACAAGTTACAATTCACCTATGTACAATTAAATTAATAAGTCTGATATCTTTGCAATACTGTAATGCTGAATGCTCTATAAGGTAGTAGTAGTGGTACTTATTATATAGCGCCTACCGCCTCGTGGACATTGTGGAATAGAGTAGAACACAATAGATAGGTAGTCTGATATTAATATATTATTAGTCTTGTATATATAGAATATAGATGAATACGTTTTGTATTTTAAACCGTAAGTTGTACATGCATAATTTTTCAAGTAGGTACTATTTGTTTTTTCGCACTGTTGTCTGTTCGTACTAAAATATTATCATGGTACTTGCAATATAGCGGTAAATGTTCGGACCACAGATCTTAGTCCGTGGTTCGGAACATGGCTATAGATACTAGGTTAGGTTAGGCTAGGTTTTTTTTTTTATTTATAAAGTTTTCCTGACACTTGGTAATCTAAACTAAGGCTAAAAGAATATAATATTTTGACATTTTGAAAAAGGTTAACATAAAAGTATTAAATTAGTAAAATATATTAAAATTATTATTTATATAAATAGTTAATAGGATGTATAAATATATATTAAATTCAAATTATAAATTATAATATAATTAATTGTATGTGATTTTTCTTAGAACACTAGACGAAAGAAAAAATATTTCTAACTGAATACTAATTTTGATAACTTTTTTACTTTATTTTGTTTTTTAGTTTGTTGGTTTTTAGCGTAGCTGAAGTGCCTCATCCTCGTAGTAATGTAAAGAACAAAAATGTTGGTAACTATTTCACTTTTATGATCTCCACAAGGAAAAGTTAATTTAAAATTTCTACTAAAAAAGTCTTCACAAGTTTCCTCAAAAACATTTTTCATTTTTTGGTATACCAAATATATTTTTTGATTTTATTTGAGGTACCCGAACACTACAATAAAAATCAGACATTTTTACAAAATATATAAAATAAAATAAAAAATATTAATGCTGTACTAATAGCCATGCGATGGATTGATGTCTAATTTTGGCAAAATATGTGTGGTCTTAAAATATGTATGATGTATATAATAATAATATAGTCTATCTAATATTTTTGCATGTTATTAATAAAGAATAAAGATATAAAGCCCGCTAAAATTATAAATCTTGTTGTTTCTATAGTAATTCACTAGGTAGCGCTAGGTGGTATTATGATTCAGCGAGAAACTTGTATGCCGCCTGTGGGTATTGTATTATTTAACATTGGCCGATGGGCAACCATAGTATCTATAGCCGTGTTTCAGAATAATGTAACGTCGAATTTGTTATTGCTCGTAGCAAACACCACAACCCGATTCTATCACGGTCTTTGATTCTATTATTTCTATGATTCCACTGTTAACCAAACCAAACCTGCATCGTGGTTCCATCATTGTGGTCTGTACCAACCACGGATATAGATACTAGTATCTATATCCGTGGTTGGTACCAACCTGTCCGGTGGTCGTGTATCGTAAAATATACCACCTTTTTACTATTGTTATCATCACGGTTTAGTTATGTGAATGTTTAAAATTTTATATTTTATATTTTTTTAAAGATTTTAACATTAAAATAAAACCTATAATATACTAAGAAACAAGTTAACAAATTTTAAATAAAATAAAAAGTAATAATAACTAATTAGTTATTACATTTTTCTGTACTTCGTAGTATTGGTCCGGTTCCGGTGTTTTACTATTTCATTAGTTACCACGCTACAATGAATCATAAAAGTAGTTCTTTTTAACGAAATTCTCCGTTTTTGTCCCCACACTGTCCAAACACATTATATAAAATGGAAACGAGCGGAGCAAAAAATATTTCAGATAATGCTAAAAGCAATATCCAAAATGCTGTAAACAAAATCGAACCAAAACAGCAATCAGAGGAAAAAGAAAAACTTGTTCAAGAACTAACAGATATGGGCTTTTCCAAATCTCTAGTGCTACAAGTAATATATTTTAATATTGATCATTTATACTTAAATTCTTATTTTTGAATATCTATGTTTAAGATTGTAGATAATGCTGGTGATGTACCTAAGAACTTAATTGTTGAACAACTGTTGACTACAAGCTCAGAGCCTAGTGAAATTATACCTGTAGTAGATGATGACGGGGATAAATTATGGGAAGATGTTACTATTGCAAATAAAATGGTTATCGTCATAAACAGTGGCTTAAACATGAGCATTGGGAAAACTGCTTCACAAGTAATTGAATATATTATATAACCTATATTAAGTCATTAACAAGACATATTAAAAAAATGGAACAAGTCTGCTCCATCGGACACCATTTTTCTCTAAAATACATGTTTAAGTATGATGAGTTCAAGTGCTTAAAAAACATTGTAGAAGTTTATTGTTCAAAAGTTATAGCAAATCAAAGTTGTCGATATTACCAACAACTTTATATGGCTTAAACACCCATAACTTTCATGTATAGTGATACCATTGTAATGAATATAACATACCATGCAACTTAATCATATAACTATTTTTATTTTTTGCAGTTTTTTCAAATAAATGATTTTAAATTGATAATTTTTGGTCAAATGTGAAAATATTTTTAAAATTATGATTTTTTGATTTGGTATATTGTAGGCTGCACATGCTGCATTGGGCTTGTATGAAGTGATGAAAGAACGTGCAGATCTAAGCTATGATTTAATTACTTGGAATGAACAAGGGTAAGATTGAAACACTATATATTTATATTTTACAGAATAAATAGGTGATTTACAAATTATCTTCTTTAGATTCCTGTACACATTTAATCTCCTCTCCGAAAATAACTTTTTCCAAAATCCAATACAAATCATTAATAAAAATATTAAAAAATGTAAAGTTTTGTAATAGATTATATAACATGTGTTAATTACTCGCCATGTGAAAGTTTCCCTATTTCATTATAAACAAAAATTACAGGAGTTATTACTTCAAACTTCAAAAATATTTTCTTTTTAGAAATTATTAAATGCTTAAATCTATAATACTTAATAGATAAAAATAAATTAAAACTAGTATGTAAGATGTAACAAAATGTTTTCAAAAAAAAAATTTATACATACCAAGGGTTTTCTGTATTAAACCCGCTCCCCCATTGGTATTTTTTACTAAATATATTAATTGTACACTCATATAGATTTTTTAAATGTACAAAATATTTTTGTATTTAATACATACATATAGGTATTACATATCATTTTTTCATAGAACCCCTCCTATTGAAAATATCTATAGACGTTGCTGCATACACAGCGGATACTCATAGCCATCGACAATATTTGTAATTACTTGATCATCAAACTTATAATAACATTATGAATTATAAGTATTTTGGAATTTGGATTTATTCCTGGAAAATGTTAATGCCCAATTAGTTGAAAATAGAATGTGTTTGTGTGCATCATGACCAAATCTACGGTTTGCAGTAGTGGTGAGTGAAGCAACCGTAGTCATTGTCGCCACCCGTAGTGCAGCACATTACAAGTGAAAAAAATAATTTGAAATTATCAAAATAAAAGATAACAATAATTAACTATTTGTTATCATCCATTTTTAAATTCACTGATACAGTAGTTATTTAAGATTAAAAAGTCGCAATTTTTGACAACTTAAGAAGATTGTTTTGTTGGATGAAACTGATACAAAGCTAAAAGAATATTCCCTGTATAATGTTATCTTTAATTTGTATAATAGGTTGGGTAACACTAAGTCTAATCAATTCAAAATGAAACCTACTTTTTGAATGTATGTTTGAAGAATAATAGCTGCACTGAAATCCTTTTAATGATGATTAAGATTAAAATAAGATTATAAACTGTTTTCAGAAGTCGAAAAATTGTTGTTGCTGCAAAGAACACTAATGAACTTATTAAAGTGTGTTCCGAAGGAAAAATACACAAAATTCCATTTTTCTGTGTCCATGATGCAGGTCTGACTGAAGTGGAACCTAACTCATTCACTGCATTGGCTTTTTTTGGATCAGATCAAGAACTTAAGCCTGTGACCGGAAAACTTAGACTGCTAAAATGAATAAAATATATCTGTTTTGGAAAACATTTAATGCGTTTATTGGTTATATTTGATAACTTACAACTAATTTTTTTAGTTATACATCTATGAATGTGCTACATGTAAACACAATATTGTATTCAGTTAAAAGTGAATAAAATTGCAAGTAATCTGATGATATAATATTATATAGTTGATTTAAAAAATACAATATTAAGTATTAATATTTAAAAATCAAAATAATTTACCTATAATAATTTAATCTAGGTAATTAGAAACTGAAAGGTTTCCTTCTTTTAAATGAGTAATTTAATCATTATATGTTATCTAATCTTAAAATATTATAAAATTATCTAAAGAAATAATTAACTTGACAATCCAAACAATAGTAATATTTAACTTTATATATAATAGGTACATAACATTATATTATGTATATAATATACAGTGTTGTAAAAAGCATTATAAATATCCATTAAATGATGTTAAATTAATTGCCAACACCTTACAATACACAATCTAACCAAAAAAATTACATGCCATGGTCAGCCTAAAAGGGGTATTTATTCAATTATGATAAAAAGTACAAATTGCGTTCACGCATAACCTGAGAATGAGTAAATTCCAATACATAATAAAAACATAGCATCAGATTTTTCTTGTTTTTAACATGTCAGTCTATTATGGGGTTTAAAGAAAATATAAATAAATTAAAACCAATAGTTGTTTGGAGTTGGTTTTTTTTTGAATAAATTTGTTTAATTTTGATGATTATGATCATAAAAGAATTTAGAAGCATTTGGATAACGGGTAGGACAAAAATCAGGATGTGTATCTAGTCCGGATCTGCCAAATGTCCTAATGCGTTCGGTATACGCATTCTGTACAGCGGTGTCAGCTCCAGCACTTGTTATCACTTCTGTATTGATGGCTACACCTGCTGCACCCATGGCAACTTCCAAATTTTCTAAAAACATTATAGTAACAATAAAATCAGTATAGTTTTAGGTACAATATTTTCCAAAAAATGGTTATAGTGTATGGGTAGTTTGTTTGTTTATGGCTACATATTTTTTGCTCAACTAGAATTCTACTTGAGTATGTATCCATACTAGCTGTATATTTTGTAATAAAGTAATATTAAAAACATATTTAAGAGTAGGAATATAATTTTTTTGAATTCATATTAACCCTGTATTGTATATTATTGTTGAAAAATAGATATATTTTATATATACATATAGTAGGTTGCATTTTTTTTGACATTATCAAATGCATATATTAATGAAATGTTAGTCATTAACATCTGAGCTTTAGTTATAACTTTGTCAGCCATGAGTTTAATCAAAAAAATATTATAAATTAAATACGAACTGTCAAATATCCTACATTCAACTGGAACACAAGTGGTTTTATTTGTGCGTTATTTGTATTTTTAAAGTACTTGAAGGTACAAAAGGTTATTGTTTATGCCATGACACCTGCCACTACCCAAATATTTAAGCCCTTTGAATCAATATATAATATAATAATAATGTTAACACAATGATTATACTCTATTCAAGTTAACACATTAAAAGACGACGTTGATTCAGAATGGGTGTCCTCATCAACGATTGCAAGTGCGGGCACCTGTCGCCTAGCTTCTTGGAGAGTGCTACCAAATTGTCAATTAAATATAAAAATTACGACAAATTAATACCAACTATGGTAGGAAGTAAGCAATATGTTACTGAATGGCCTACAAAAATATCAAATGACGTATGGCATTAGCTGCTTTCATAAATTTGTAGTAAGAGATACAATACGGCATGTCAACCAGGGATTGACACCGGCCATGGGCGCCCGCGTACTTGTGTCAACCCGTAGTTGACATCGGCCATGGCGCCTGTTTAGTCGTATCAACCACTGGTTAACATTGACATCGAACTTGTCAAGTGCCCACTTCAGTATATCCATACAGGGTCACTTAACCTAGTCAGACCTCTTATGTTAACTCTGTGCTCTCTAACAGGTCAGCAACCCTTGTTACTCCTCTCAGTAATACATATTTATTTATAGCAAAAAAAAAAAATAGATGTTGAGAGCTTGTAAAAATAAAGATACACACTTAAATATGATAATGCATCTTACTATGTATATTATATACAATAACAGTGTCATGAAATCAACACCAAAACTTTGTAGTCAGTAACATTATAGGTCATTTGTGGGAGAGGATGTTCAAACTAGACCAATTTTTGATGGTAAAGTTAAATTTAACTTGAATAGAGCATACATTTTTAATAGATATAATGAATCAACTCACTAGCTATAATTTGAGATAAAGACCCTTGTGGCTTTGAACTTGTCACTATCTTCCTGCGTTTGTTAGGCATACCGGATAAATATGCATCGCTATATGGTGGCTGTGTTCCTTGACGTCTTTGACGTTGTGAATCTCTAGCTATGACTGGTACCCATTCCTGTAGATAAGAAAACTCTCATAAATATAAATTTTTTCGTACCAAATTAATTATTTATAAATTCACTGAAGGAACATTGTGGTGCCAATCTTGAGATCCAATAACAACCTCGGGTAACGGTTCATTGATATTTTCAGAAGAAGGCATAGAAGGATTGGATGATTGTTCTCCATTATTACTCTGGAATAAAAATTATAAATTTATATTATTTCCAATTTCAAAAATTATAAAAAACATAAATAAGTATTAATACAGACCGCTCTTAATAGTTGTGCAGCTTCATCAAATGGTACAATATAGTCAACTACAGATAAACTCATCATTTGAAAAGTGGTCATTCTTTCCCAGTATTGGTCAATATTCGCACGTAATTCATCCATTATTAAAATGTGTAAATTTGAAGGAAGTGGCAAGTATTGCTAAAATTATTTTGAACATGATTATCAAGTATATTTAATATAAGAATATTAATTAATTACCATGACTGCGGAAACACATAGCCGAAATATAGGGCGGCTGTTACAGCAATAAACTATCAATGATAAAAATCCTTCAGCAAACACGGACAATAAATTCACAATACTATCAATGGCTCCTATTCGATCTAAAACATATTTATATATATATATATATATTAATATATTGTATGAAATAAGAGATACAAATTGTTTTGAAGCAAAAGTTAATATTATTTATTATCTTTATTTTGTATTAAGTAAAACTATTCAAACTTAATTTTAAATGTATTCTATTTGTTTCAGTAGAACAATAAAAAAAATAAATTTTATTTACAAATGATACTGTTGAATGCATACTTCAAATTAATATTGATATATTAATTTGTGAAATTAAATTAAATTAGTTTTATTATTATTATAAAATTAAGAGGACACCATACCAGAAAGGTGTCTGTCTTACAAATGTATAATTTAACAAATCCATCAACATAAAATAATAGAATATACCAGGAATGATTTTGAATGGTGTTAAGTGTAATATATTGAAGCAAATATATGTGGGAGAGATAAATAATGAGAGGCTAATATATGCTTATGCTAAGGTATAATAATCTTTTTGATAAATCCATAGATTTATATAATATATTAGGTTATATTGTAGGCTCACATATTTTTTATCATTCCTGGTCAATTCTATTATAATATGTCGATGAGTAGATAATACAAATTGTGTAATTAGGTTCAATAAAGATTGAATAATAAATCATATTTTCTTGTGAGTTTTCTAAAATTAATTAATTCATTCATTTTAAGCAAGTTAGTAATACTAAGTAAAATATTACAATTTATAATTTGGAATATCGTAAAAAAGTAAAAAAAAACCTTATGGTAATATAAATAATGTTCATACATTTAAGTTTGATATTTTCACTCTATTATTTAAGTTAACTTCACAAAATTGAAAGTGCAGAACACATGGATAGTTGTTTAGTGCAAAAGAAAATGGTGTAAACTCTAGTATAAAGATTTATAATATATAGTTTAAAGTACTCGAAGAGTAAATGTTATAAAAATATTTACACACTATTATATTTTTTAGTTCTACAATAAATCAATTATATATTCTTAAATGTTGGAATGATTCTGATTGAGGAACAAGTCAAAGTAATTATTGAGTGAAGCAAGGAACTTTAACAAGAAAATAATACCAATTTTTACATAATTGAGTACAATAAACGCTATGATTAAACTTATACATTAATCAAAAATCTTACTTTCACCACAGAAGTTAATTATTCCACGTAGATTTTGAAGAATACATCGCCGGAAAGAAGCATTCACATTAATATTGGTACGTGTTGGCACAGTACATTGCTAGTGTATTCATAAATAAAAAAATGTTTATAATTGGATCTTAAAATTATTTAATTGATCATTAATATACATTTTACTTACAAAAATATTTATGTATGGCACGATTTCTAAAAATATACGATTTGCAGCATCCTCAATATTTTGATTGCTAGGTGGTCGATTAAGCATAATTCTATCCAATATGAAATTTATTAATTCTTCAGAATGTGTAGCAACAGGATTAGTTCTAAGTGTTGATGTTTCTGACGTTAAATTCACACTGAACATGTCCCGTAGAGTCCAGTTACGAGAAATCATCAAGAATAAGTCTACCAACAAGGATTGACCTTCTAAACTTCTAAAGTATGGTATTTCACCAATAGGAGTTGTAAGCAATACATTTGGTGGAGTTGACTGAGAGGTAGATGTACTCATTGAATGCTCAAAACCCTATTCAAAATATAATAAAAAGCCAACATTAAGTAAGTGATACACAAAAATTTTAGTTGAAAATAAAAAAATGATTATACCAAATTATCAAAATTGTTTTATTAACATTATTATGTTTTATTAGGGCATGGAATTTGTTACATTGAGCTGTTTTTTTGAGGATATTAAATTTATAAATGTTTTCTAAAAACTGTAAAAACAATAAATAAGAATAATCTTTTGAGATTAATGAAGAATGTATAGGAAAAAATATCAGTAGAAGATCTCCATGGGCAGAAGAACAAAAAATTATTAATGGATTGGCCATGTACCGAATGAAAAAAGGATGTTAATTGTATAAAATATTAAAAGAAATACAAGTCATAGAGAAGAGTTGCTGCAAACCTCCACAAAATCAATACGGAAAAAATAAACAAATTGAATAAGTCACTGGAATAAAATGCTCGGAAGCATACAA